TCAGGATTCCTAGAGTCTCTGCACACACTTTCATTTCCAAATAAGAAAAGTGATTGTTTATGGTTGAGAAGAAAGGGTGGTAATCTGTCCTTCTGAGAAAAGGATGGTCAAGCATTTTGTCACCTCCCAGCCAAGCCTTGGCACAGATTTGGCCTAAACCAGACACTGATGGAGTCTGGTGTCTGCTTAGGGAAAAGCGGAAGCCAGACGCTGTGGATGGACTGTGTGTACGTGTGTGTGCATATGCATGTGTGTGTTGTAGGTGACCTCCTGGGGAGCACCCAGCCTCACTCGTGTTGTCTGGAGCACTCTGGGCCTGAGTTGAGGCAGCGATGCGCGCGTGTCATCTCAGCTCTGCTCAGTGGAGGTTTCAACTCAAGACCAGGGCTGGGTGGGGGGTGCAGAAGAGGAGCCTGGCTGCCTGTGTCCCAGGAATGAAAGGAGCGAGGGCACACAGGCACCACTGGGAGGGGCGCCCTCCAAGGCCCAGACAGCTGCAGCATCACAGTTTGTGGCAGTGAAGTTGACTTCTGCGTCTACGCTCACATGATGAATGAATTGAGAGTTTGATGAGGAACAGGATATTTACATCGTCCCAAATAGCCCCTCACAGAATATTTTCTCACAACGGGAAAATGTGACTTCAGGGGAGGACCTGCTGGGCCCTCCTGCGTAAGAACTGTCTGCTCAGACATCCCACCCCCAAAAGACTCCCCTGCAGGATCTTCCCACTGCCCATTCCTCTGGGGCTGGCCACCCACGCCCACTTTCTCTCCCAGGCTCTTCTTCCAGGACCTTCTGGAAGCACTGGTCACCTTGACCGCCCCTGCTTGGGCCTGGTTTCTTTAACCCAGGACAAACCGTTGTCCAGTGTTGGGCACCATCAGGCCTTCCCCACCAACTTTTTCCACCCTGAAGTGTTGGTCTGTGTTCTGGGCTTCCCTTGGCCCCCTTCCCTCTCTAGGCCCCTCAGACATTTCTGTGGCCACTTCTGAATCCATTGTGGTCAGTATCAGCCCTATACATGGCTGTTTGTCTCTGAGTCCTTCACATAATCTAACCCTACAAGTTTCTGAGATACGGTACTGTCTTTACTATTGTTTTGTAAATGAGAAACGGGTAGGTGGAGTTGAGACTGAGCCCAGAGCCCACTAACAGGAGGGTAGTGGGGGCACTGCCTCCACTCCGGCCCCCTGCCCTCGCCAAGGTTTCCCTCCTCACCTTACTCCACATCTGAAGAAGCCTGGGGTTCTGAATAGCCACTGTCCACCCACAGAGGTCAGAGAGGAGTCCCATGTGCCACCCTGTCCTCAGGCCACTTCCCCCTCCGCTGTCTGCCCTCCTGCCTCACCCGAGGTTTCTCCAGGCCCTACCTTCACTTAGACCTCGGTGGCTTAGATTTCTAATATATTATGCTGTAAAGGACATTATTGGAACAGCTGGTGACATTGGCATAAGATCTGCTAATTAGGTAATATTATATCAGGGTTGTTTCTTATTTTCTGAAAATTGTCCTTTGTTAGGTACAAGAATGCTCTTGGTTTTGTTAAACACACTCTCAAGTATAGCAGTAAATAGGTATCACAGGTGCAGTTTGTTCCTGACTGTCTCGAAGAAAAATGTGCGTGTCCATGTGTGCACGCATGTGCATTGTGTCTGCGTGTGTGACAGAGTGACAGTGTGAGAGAGATGTCCACAGTGGGGAATCCGTGTGAAGGTTGGACAGTTCTGCTGTTCTTGCAACTGTTTGGAATTTGAAATTACTTCAAAATAAAGCTACCCTCCCCCCAAAAAGTTATACAGTGTAGCCCTGTAAAATACATTGCAAAAGTATATTCTCTAGGGCCGGCCGAGTGGCGCGATGGTTAAGAACTGGCTTGGGACGCCAGAGGGCCCCGGTTTGAATCCCACATAGGAGGGCCAGTGACACTGCCCTCTACAGCTAAGATGCTGAACA